CAAGGAATCAAAGGGCATAAGGTGTTTCCTTGGCAATGTGCCTATCTTTCTCACCACAACAAAATAACTTAGCACCAAATTACTCAAGAACAAAAGAAATGGAAAGGCTTTTGAAATCTGCGAGCCAGAAAAGGGAGCACTAATACAGTGTGTGGGCTGCTGCTCCACATGACAGAGAATTAACACACCTTTTGAGTTAAGAGGCCAACCATAAGGCTAATGAGATCTAGTTTAATCTAAGCTGACGTGTTTTATGTATACAAATAAATGGAAGACCTGGCACAGGCCATATTAACTCAGACTGAGCCTCTACTGTCTTTGAAAGCCTGCTTTGCACAGCTAAGCAAACAGAGGAAGAAAAACGACTGTTAAATCACCCTTTGTAAAGGTGTCCCTGAATGCATAATCCAGATTTTTTAATTTCTTCTTGCTACACCTAGAAAAATTAATAAGGAAAGAATATTTATGAGGGGCAAGTTGCATTTTTTTTTGTTAATGGACGAAAGATGAGGAAAAAACCACATTAAATTTGTCATTAGTGCATGGAGATGTGATCTAGTGCTGTACTTGTATTTGTTTAACATTAACAATAAGAGAAACAAGTAGAATCTTAGATAAGATATTATGAGCTGGTACCATATAAGAGAGAAATAAAACGCCTTGTGGCACATCTCCACTTCCACAGGTGCAGCCCACAGAAGAAAGTTCATTTAGGCAGCCTTATAGACGCTTTGTTTCTCAGTCATAGTCGTCGTCTTATATTGGAGAGCAATTGATGGGATGTGCTTGGCCATCCCAAGGGCTCGCTAGCTCTAGGCAGGCTAGAAATTAGCAGCATTCTGCACTTATGAGAAACACTTGTCACCCTAGTCATCCTCACACTACATAAAAACAGACACTAAAGGTTAATAACAAGAGGAATACAAACATTACATTTCCAAAAGAGCTCGGTGAAATTTAAGCTTCTCTGTCCTATTTGGCACTTACCCAGGACTTATTATAAGCAAGCTTAATCTGCTAATTCTTCTGAAAACAGTTAATAGAAATTTAAGTCACATTCGCCCTTTTCAAAATGTTACCACATGAAAGAAAAGAAACAATCGTCGTCAGACGTGACTTTTCTGAAAAAATCAGGACATTTTTTTGACTCTCTTAAAAAACCCCATTTCTAAAGTTCTCGGTTTCTAAAATAGCGGGTTTTTCCTCCGATTTTTCTTCAGTGGAGGCCAGTAAAAACCTATTATTGGTAGCACATCATACCCCTTTACAGAGCTATACAGATCATGGTCTATGTCAAGTGTTGTAGAGGCATAATGCTTGGAAATCAGCAAAAAACCTTGTTGATGATGTACAAAAACACAGCCGAGGTTACTTACTCCATGAAAAAACAAATGGTAAAGTCTTGCTTTAACTTGAAATATGAAGATGGTGTTCTGAACTGACAGGAGGAGGAGATCTGATGAATAAGCAAATATTCTTTTCGATCAGGTACTTATCTTAGTAGAACCAAACTTTAGAATTGTATCCCATCTAACACTGTTCTGTGTCAAAAACTGGGGGATTATGAGCTTTAGCTACTCAGATACAAACATTTGCTTTTGCCGGACTGCTGTGGAAGCAGGAATCTCTGGACGGGAAAGTGGCCAGATAGCAAGAAATGATGACACCTTAAAACTTCCACAGCCAGATTCCCTATAGCTCACCTGTTAGAGATAAGTCACGTACTCACAAATACCCATCTGACAATGTCTGATCTTGCTGATATTTGGGGTACCTTGTGGAGGTTGGTTTCTTTGCTAAAGCAGTGAGGAGGAGAAACTATTTTTTTCTTGAAAATACTGAAGTTGGAGATACCATCATTTAATTTATTGCCTTTAAACTTGTTTTACGTGCAAGTCAGCTAGAACATGAAAAAGAGAATTATACCTTTGTAAAAGAGGCAGTTCAGGATTCAGGTGTTAGGAGATTATAACGCTGCAGGATTTCATGCAACTGCAAAATTCCCCTGCATTTATTCAACTGTCTCATATAACTTTCAGTCCTTTTGCAACATCATTTTTGCTGAGAAGTGCAACCAGCTGCTCACACGAGTTGCTTATACTGCACAGAAAGGTGTGTGAAGAACACTCATGGAACCTGTCCTAGTATTCTAGCTAGGCTGCCCATCGATCCCTCTGTTAGGGACAAGATCATCTCGTCTACTCATGTCAAAAATACCTTATCAATCAGAAGCAATAAATCCACTGATTAATTAAAATCCAGTACTCACAAAGAACGGGATAAGACCAGAAGCTTTGTCTTCATCCAAAACTTTCTTTAGGGCTGAACCACAAACACTAAATGTATCATCTGAAGAAACATTTTTGATCTTCACACCACCAATTAACGCAGCCCTTTCCACTGACGAATGAGCCTGCAAGGAAATGGGCAGGTTTTAAGACAGATACCTTTTACTGGAATGTAAAAAGTTCATTTGACTTTGAAAACAAAAAATAATTTCTTTCAAGTAAAGCAGTACTTGAGATCCTGGGACTGTTGCATAACAGATACGTACATCTCCCTCTTTCATACAGATAGACAGACAGATGGACACACATCCATACATATATACAGGCACACAAATAGACTAATAGAAAGCCTGAAGTATTCTTGAAACCATTGCCATGGCGTCATTCAGACAAGAGTTCAATTAACCTTAGTGAGAGCCTTAATTAACATGTTGGCAATTAGGTAGGATTGATTAAGAGCTTCAGGATCTGGCTCCAAATCAACCAGAAGACATGCAGATAATCAGCTTGCCTGATACGATTCAGTTGCTCACTAGCGTATTTTTATGGCATACAGCTTTGCTGAACCCTAAGAAAATATACATCATGGTATGGTATAGATTGAGATATTTTCTTACATTACCATTTTTTTTTTTAGATTACCCACTGAATAAATTGTGGTTCAGTCATGCATTCACTCATTTTGGTAGGCAATTAAGGATCATTCCCAATATGTTATTTTATTTATAACCCATTTTCTTTGAATTCCCCTTAAATATTTTTTTTAGAACATGAAGTACATCTCAGTAAATAAAAACAAAGATATCACTAAGAAGTTCCTATAAAATTGTGAAGTACAATACTATAATAACTCTGTTAACAGTGAAAGGTATGTATAGCCACAAAATACTCTCCTTCAGAGCATGACTAAAAGCAAAAAAAGGTATTTTACCTTCTACAATTTCATTAATTGTCATTAATTTGAAAGAGAAAAGTTCCTCACCTTTTCATATGACTATTCTCATTCATAATCTCCATCCTACCCTTGTTGGTTCTTGCTAGTGCCTATGTCGTGGTTCAACCCCAGCCGGCAAATAAGCACCACACAGCTGCTCGCACTCCCCCCCGGTGGGATGGGGGAGAGAATCAGAAGAGTAAAAGTGAGAAAACTCGTGGGTTGAGATAAAGACAGTTTAATAGGTAAAGCAAAAGCTGCACACGCAAACAAAGCAAAACAAGGAATTCATTCACTGCTTCCCATCAGCAGGCAGGTGTTCAGCCATCCCCAGGAAAGCAGGGCTCCATCATGTGTAACGGTGACTTGGGAAGAATAAATGGCATAACTCTGAACACCCGCCCTGTTCCTTCTTCTTCCCCCAGCCTTATATGCTGAGCATGATGTCATATGGTATGGAATATCCCTTTGGTCAGTTGGGGTCAGCTGTCCCAGCTGTGTGCCCTCCCAACCTCTTGTGCACCCCCAGCCTGCTTGCTGGTGGGGTGCTGTGAGGAGCAGAAAAAGCCTTGACTCTGTGTAAGCACTGCTCAGCAATAACGAAAGCATCCCTTTCCATCACAAATCTAAACCATAGCCCCATACTAGCTACTGCGAAGAAAATGAAGTCTATCTCAGGCAAAACCAGCACAGCCTACAAGAGCACTTACTAATTCTATTCTAATTTAGCATATAATCACAGAAAAGATTAAGCCAAAACACAGGTTGAACAAGACCAGATGAAGATAAAGTTTCTGCCTTTCAACTTCACATATCCCTGGAATGACGTGTTTTAAAGGCAGATTGACTATTAACTTTTATCTCAGCAGCGCCTCTTTTCGGCAAACTAATTAGGCACCAGCTTGGGAAAATATAGAAGTCTAGACTTGAAATATAACTTGCAAAAGGAGCCTCAGCCAGGATAGCCCAGGCACTAAACCAGACAGGGATCCTCTTCTGTTGTCTGCAAACCCCCAAGCAGTTACTGGGGAAAGCTTGGTTGCCTCTCCTGCTCTGTACTCATTAACGCAAAGCAAAATGATTTCAAGGGGATAAAGATTTTCCCCAAATGCCGAGAAGCTAACATGATCTCCCAAGACGTACAAGAGCCCAATTCAGCTTCCTGCTCTGCGTCTCCTTACTGGCCAACTTTTTACCTCCCTCCTAAAGCATTCTTGCTTGCTCTTGCTATGCTCTGTCGGTGCATGGATTTCTCTCCCACAGAATGGCTTAGGCTTACTTTCTTTTGTGGATTATTGCCTATGAGTCACACAGGTCTGTTCTTAATGCAGAAGGACCGGTGAGCTGGCAGCAATCTGCTTTGAAAGGTCAGCAGTATCTTAAGGCAAATCCTTCGGTAAACATAAGATCCTCTGACCTTCAGTAGGCAGGAAGGCCTGTCAGTCCTCATTTCAGGTCAGCCACTTACATGGGACAAAAAATGAAAACAAATAAAAGGCTTTGTGCATCACTGGGTCGGAGTTTGAGCTCTGGGGCTGGCGGTCTGCCCAACACTGACCTTAGGGTCCCAGGCCAAAGAAGGACAAATATCCTTTGTGCCTTTTGAAAACAGTTCTCTTTCCTCATATTGTCTTGTCCTGACTCTTCTCGCCCTACAGGTGTAGTCTCTCTTCCCACCAGCAAAGAGCAAGTGTCCGTTTAACTTGTTCTCCAGGGCTTTTTAATATACGGTCAGTAGTAAATCAAGATAAGCCTGAAACCTGGCCATTTTATTCTGCATAATCAGGTACTACTTCAAACTAAACATCAAGTACTAAGGAAGTTTCTTCTCCCTCATTGACATTTAGATAAGAAAATGTCACAGCTATTGAGAGAAGCAACACTGCTTGGCCCTTCAGTAGGATTAGTGTGTCAGGAAGGCCAGAGCAGCAGAACTCACAAGACTAAAATTTGCTTTCATTAACAGTAAAAGCCTCTCATGGTCCTGGCCTGCTGAGCATTTAGCCTGACTCAGGCTGCTAAATACCACTCACAGTCAGCAATCAAGGATTGTGTTTTCTCTTTTCTTAGAAGATTTCTGAGCTGTATTGATACATGGAGATCTTAGGAGTGTTTTTCTTTCAAAAAAATAATCACGTTTTGGGCTTCTTCAAGTATCATGACCAATTTGCTTTCTATTCATGCACTAGGTTTCTCTGTGTGTGTGCACCCGCACCCATGCACGCCCACAGGCAGAGGACGTATGTGTGTTTGTTTGCCCATGTGTATGTAGGAGACAAATAATGTCTGTGCACATGGACACACAAGCCTCGATGTCCTAAAGGATGGCCTAGGCTTACTCAACACAACTGAAATTAACACCTTACTCAAGTATCTTTCTTTACTTCAAATGAGCTCTTTTTGTAAAGAAGCAATGCTTAGGTAACACTGACCTCGGGATGTTTCTTCTTTGTATTATGGTAGCGCACATGAGATTCCAGCCCACTTACGATGTGCAATAAGATTTAAACAAGCAAAACCAAAGAGTCACCAATCCAAAGAGTTTATGCTTCATTCACCTGCCTATTGAGGTGGCTGACATTGTTAAGTAGAGCCCCCATGCTTCCGCGTTTTTGAGAGGTACTCACCTGATCAGAAGTATAGGCCACCAGCCTGCCCATGATGTCTGCTTCTGTTAGCTCTGGCTTTTCTGACTGCACTCGTCTGATAGCCTTGGTTCTTGCAGCAAGCAGTGAAACCAGCGTGGCCTCGCTTGCACTTCCCTGTGGGACAAATTGAAGGAAGGTTCAAAAGAAAGACATTCCTGAAGAAGAAAAGCAACATTTTCTTCTATATGAATCTGCAAAGTTGCGAACAGAAACTGCATAGGAGAAACTGCGCAATCTCACGCTTTTTAAGAACACGTGTGACAGCAAGAGAGGAATCTCTATTAGATCTTGGTCCCCTCCTTCCTGATGCCTTTGTCTGCTCTCTTTAATCCCTATGCTTGTCCAGTTTAGGCACCAGCCTTGCAATCAGTGCCAGAAAGCTGGACTCACAGACCTAAACGCCTGTGAAAAGGCTCTCGAACGAGGCACCAATCATCTGTTAACCAGTAACAACGGCAGAGTAACTGTTGATTTCTGTTCCTCGGGCTTTCTGCACATTTAACTTCCATCAGAATCTGACTGGCAACTCTCATTTCTATCAAGCAACATGCATAATTATAACGCCTATTTCATAGTTAGAGTTACCCTGGGCACGTTAATTGTTGTGGCTAAGAGAGGAAGAACACTGAAAAAGCCAAACAGCGATGATTCAATATAGCTAACTCCATTTCAAAGTATTAGTTATGTACGTTTTCTTCATCAAAACCGCACGGGCGAAAGGAACAGCCAGACACTCTTT